TTCCGCAGTCAAGTGAACAACTCCTTTGGTTAAAACACCTTCAAGTGCTCCGACTCTTTCACCTTTCGGTTCCATCGCCATTTTTCCTGGGAATTGAGTTAACTGCAAACCAATGTCAGAGTGTGTTTGATAGTTCCCTGAAAGCGATCCACCAACCATATTCTCCCAGCAACTTTAAAAGATTACGATATATATATAGTGTTTGTGCTATTACCTGCAACAGTCAGTAAACATTTATCACTACTTTTGGACAAGGCCTTTACTAACCATCATCATCCACTGTTACAGGTAATAGGATAATAGTAATAACAATAATAATATATATACATACATTGACATCAAGAACGATGATTTCTTCTGTCCTTTTGCATGTGTTCATTCTACACCCCTATCTCCCAGGTCATCCATTTCATTGCCCCGCAGTGAACTGCCAGGCCAGCGGAAAAGGCCTAACCATTTCCATGGTTCGAGGCTGACCTGAACCATCCTGGGCCTGAAAAAGGTATCTTATAAGTTTATATTGTAAACCATTTTACGGGCCTTCTTTTCCCGTCCCCTCCCTCCCCTCAAATCTTGCACTGTTCGTCACGACAAGAAACGCTTCACCCCGTGAACCAGGCTTCACATTTACACTTCGGACTCTGAGGTAACGAAGCCTGGTGCGTGGAGAACTTGGGCTTTGCGAAGCCTTTAGTGTTGAGGCCGCGCTATCAACCGGCAGAGAACCGCACCCACTCGGCTGTTCATGGATTTCCCCTGTTTGCTGGTGTGAACATGGTGGACCCCAGTATGCAAGGCCAATCACAGTCAAGGTCTACTTCAGGTTGTCGACTTTGAGTGGGCAAATGAATGAGATTGATTCAAAACAATACCACGAACTAACCACCAATGGTCCCAATAAGCACCAGTACTTGGGATATGATTTTCTTGCCAGACTCAGTTCCTTTGCCCATCCGTCCATCCGCGTTTGTGGTGCAGGTTGCTGCCGGATGGGTCTTTGGAAGAGCCCACGGAGCTTCGGTTGGTGATCCGGCCTGACGGGCGTTTGGAGGTGGAGAGTGAGATAGGCAGGACCGGGCGGGGCGAGTTTCAGGCTGGTTGGGGTGAGTTACACTCCAAAAAGAACCAAAAACTAAACATGGACCAAGTGGACATCATGTTCGTAGAGGCAAGTAGTCTTCGAAGGGTTCATGATTCCCTTCAATGTTTGTTTTTGGAGTGTAGGTTGGGAATGATTGGGACTGTTCGGACTGTTAGGACAAAGAACTTGTGTTTCTTGAGAGTTGTCTCTCAGATCCACATACCTCTGCAAGGTCGGGACGGATCCTCCAGTCACTCACCTCAGAGGGTGTCAGTGAATCCCTGGGGGCCCTTGGCCATGGCCTCCAACCTAATAGCCGTGGCCTCCAACCTACTAGCGATGGCCTCCAACCTCATATCCATGGGCATGAAAGGTAAATTTTCCCTTCAAGACATTGTCGTTCACAAGTCGAAGGGCTTGGAGAGGCCACACGGCCACACGTAAGAAAACCACTTTGCAGTCAAGTCTTGGATGATTGGCTAGGCCCGGTGGAGCAATCACAGAGAGTTTCCTCCCAGCACAATTCGGGATCAAGTTGGTGCTGGAACATCTCCCTTGAGAAAGTGCTTGTTTCGGTCCCGTTGTTGGAAGAAATTGTGGGACCAGGATGGCCATTCGACAGGAGGTGTTCGAAGTCCTAATTTGAGATGTGGGGCGATGCGAGCTGAGCAGGTCACTTTATTTTTTGTTCGATGGGTCGAAGAACAAAAGGCTCAAGAATTCTGAGGAACATGATCCAATCACAGCCACCGAGGTAGCTTTTAGTTTTATTGCTCAGGCTGTAAATGGGCATTTCGGGTTCAGTTGATGTTTTGGGGGTTAGTTTTTTGTGCGTTCTGTGGGTGTCTACAGCGAGAAAGCAGCAGGTGTTTGTGGTGGGGTTGTAGGGTTTGACTGCCTTATAGGAGGACTAAACTCTGCGGAGTTCCAGAGTATAAAACTGTTGGTCAAGCAGCAGAAGTGATACTGTAACCTGACAATCCCTCAGCAGCCTCATGTTGCCTCAGTAGACCCATGCCTATTTTCATGTTGATAATAATTTGACCATGACCGTGCCAGAATGTCGTCAACAAAGAGGTGACCGAGGAATAATACCGTGACCAGTTGGGAGACCAGTTGGGAAACAAGTGGCATTTCTAGATTTGAACACCGTTTCTAATTGGGGACCACTACCTATAATGTCACAACTTCTTGACAGCCAGATCCTTCCTCGGCAACTTGTTTTCCTCGCAGGCAGCGACCCCGAAGACAGCATCATCTCCGTCCACGTGGAAGCTACACTGGTCACCAAGAGCGGTGGCTGGAGTGCGAATCGCCCTGAGCAGGAGCTGTTCGTGCTCAAGCCGTTCCAGCCGGGTCGGAGGTAAAGATCAGATCAATGGTTGTCCAATGCATCCATGGTCATCGATGCATGTCGTCCCTTCCACGGTCCGTTTGGTCCATCGGGTAGGAATGAACCATGGATTGTGCGCATCTGGAGAGGTGCTGTATGGACTGTACGGGAGTATATATATACATATATATATATATATCAAGAGTAATTATAAGTGTATACAGGTGTCAAGGGTTTCGGACATCAACAAGTCTGAGTATATAACCCTGGATCTTCTTGGGTGTGCCATTCTATCAGCGATCCTTTTTGGAAAAACTAGCAGATGTGATTGCCATTAACTTGAAGCCTTTCTTGCAGTTCAGAAATCGTTGTGCGATTTGATACACATCATAGTACATCATAGAATTGAAACGGGGACCTTTCCCAGCCAAACCCCCACTTCTGGCGACACGATTTAAGCAACGTATGCAAAGCGGAGAAACGGCACTTTTGAACTGACAAGGCAATTTTGACAAGAACGACTGAACTTGTGTTGTTGCATGATGTTGCACTACACAGCACTGAAAATGCACTCGTGGAAGGTCCAAAAACTTCCCATGCTTACAGATCACTTATCATCGACATAAGGTATCATCACTTGTTTGCATCAATGAGAAACATATCAGAGGTTTGAGAGTGGAACAGCTTTTTCCCTGCAAGAGCTTTAGCGCTATCACCTACGAAGCAAAGCACATTTGAGAGTGAGGGTAGAACAATATGACCATATATGACCCAAAATCTGATCGCCGATAAATATCAGAAATATGCACGGTGTTCCAGACAGAAATGTCTTCCGCTACCTCCAGTCACCACCTGATAGGATTCCTTCAACTTGGACAAGCTTCGTGAGCAATGCCACTGGGAGACAGCTGATGAGAGGGTGTGGGTGTTGTTCGAGCAACCCGCACAGTCGCAATTTACTTGCAATGACTAGCCTTTCTAGTTCCAAGTGTGCGAGTTGCAGCCTGCAGGACTGACATCCAATTTCCATTGTTGATACTTGTAAAGCAGGGTTTTATCCTCACGACCAGGCTCCAGGCGCTTCAAAACTCCATCATACAACCATCACTATCACAACGCCAACTTTTGCAGAGGGCGAGGGAGGCCATCCCCACAGCTAGGCCCAGAGGCGGTGGACATCGACCTCATGTACTCCTTTGGCCGAAAGTCTGGCTTGCCCTTGCAGCCACGTTTCCGCACCGTGCGGCATGTGCAGAAAGGCTGGATTCAAGGGCTGGCGTGGCCTTGCGGAGTTCGGCCGGTTCGGCAGGTTCGATGGTACTTAACATTGCCTTCTACAAGATATCTGTATCCGCCTTAACCTTACAAGTGGTGATCTTATATGATTTGGATGTGACTGTCATTTCGACTGTTGCAGGTACTGTCCTCCCTCCATACGTACCATTAGGATCGATTAGGTGATTTGAAGTTTTTGGTTGGTGTCAAGGTTTTGGATCTCTCTGAAATACATTTTCTGGGATATGAAACGTAAAAATTGCGTTCCAGAGAGCATCCATCGTCTAAGCCCCCGAACCTTTGGGATTTGGGACTGACAAAAGCAACTCCGCTGGAAAAGAATCGTAATAAATCTGTATAGATGGTGTCATCTCTTTTTGGGCAGTCCCTTCCGGCCCTAGCAACCGTGGGAGATGTCGTGTTTGAATCTGCGTGGCGGCTAATCCAAATGATCCAACTGGGCCAGTGCAACAACCCCGGGCCTTGCATGTTTGTATTGGCCTGCCCCTTAACACTACCAACGCATTGCTGGCCAAGAAAACAATAATAAGAGCAAAAACACATAAACGAGCTTATATATCCTCCAAAACGATTGCCAAAAACGATAACGAAATATCAAAAGATGCGAGCGCTTGGGAGGATACCGACCGGTTTGAGCATATCACCTGTTGAAGGAAAGTGAAAGGACATGAATGCAGAATGAAAGGAAAATGAAAGGAAAAAAATGCAAAATGAAAAGAACATGAATGCAAAATGAAAGGAATATGAAAGGAAATGAATGCCAAATGAAAGGAAATGAAAGGAACATATTACATTTGTTGATTTTCGACCAAGGATGCTTTCACACCAACAGAAAGCTGGAAATTTCACATTTCTAGTACAGAGAATCCGCCGCCTGAGAAAACGATAAGAGTAGAAAAACGACAACATGACTTCTGGACATTGCAATAAGTGATACGGGTGTTTAACACTTCCCCAATTGTTGTGTCACGCACAAATCGAAGGGACCGTACAACCCATTGAAGCTGAGGCTCTTGTCACAAGTAGTCATGTTTTTTAATCGAAAGATAAACCTCTCAGTCCCTCAGTCGTCTCCATTTTAGAACCTGGCATAGGGCGCACGACGAAGTAGAGTTTCTAGGTCTATCCTTTGGAACTGGTGGAGCTGTTCCCTCCTGCGAATGCTTGTTTTACCCTTTCCAGTCCCTTCGAGCCTCAAAGAGGCTTTCCTGTGTTTGGCCCTGACAGACGAACCAAAAATTCCAACGACATTGAGAGAAAATACACGTGACGTCCACGGGGGTACTTTTCATCGCCCCAAAAACACATCTTGACTTGGGACTTGTCCTCCAGGTGACCAGGAGTCCTTCGGGCGCCTGGAGATGGAACGTGATGGCACGCAACAAGGCGGACCGGGCCATGAACGAAATATCCACAGCGCCTGGAACCTTCTCCGGACCTGTGGACCTGTTGGGACGGATCTTTCTCGAGGGTGTCTCCTGCCGTTTTGGGTCGGACACACCGACAGTTCAAAGTTGTTGAGTGTGTTTTGCGAGCAGTCCTCGTGTGTGTGTGTGTGTGAAACGCAAGGAACTAGCAATTGATAGTACAACACCCTCCCCATGAAGCGTTTAAAGGACTGAAAATGATGAATGATTGGCAATTTAGATCAAAAGCGAGCAGACGTGACTTGTTCCCAAAGCCAACTGCTGTTCTTGTGGCCTGAGAAGTAGTTGGACCCTCCTGCCACCTACCTACCACACATCCAAAACCACCGTTCATCTCAGAGTGTGGGCATGAAAGGTAAATCTTCCATGTGGAGTAAAAATTGCTGTCCAGAACGGCTTCAAGAGACGACAAGATGCCGATGTTTCGATGCTGGTGCCACATGATTTGGGCGCCACTCCAACCAACTTTGCACTCCATAAAATACTCCAAAAACATCCTTAAAGTAATCTCCTCACCAATGCGCAAGCCTCTTACAAACTGGCTTGCAGTTCCAGCCAATCAATACTTGCTTGTAGGGAGAAAAGACTCGCGACGACTACTCAGAACTGGAGGTACGAGGTCAAAGCATCCAAAACTATCCAAAACTAATGTGATTCCCGTGCAGCGCGTTTGGGCGAGGCTTCTGGCTGGGCCCCTCGTTGATCGATGGTTCCTTCCAAGCATCAATGGCCTTGGCCGACGCCGCCGTGGGCATCGGTGCCTTGACCACCCCCGAGCGCAAGTTCAAACCGCTGCTGTGGGCGGGGGAACCGATGGAGATGATCAAAGCGTTTGGGGAACCAGTTCTGCAACACCTTCCAATTGCATCTATATGTACCATGTAGAGTTCGCCGAAGATAGGTATTAACCTGCCCAATAAATCAACCCAGCCAAACCGACATATTGCCGGGCAAACGTACAGGAAAAGCAACAAAAAAGCGAGGAAAGGACCTTAGTAAAGCGGCCCTTGATTTCTCCTTTTTTGCCCTTATGTCAAGGAGAGACTCACGACATTTGCTGAGGAACCTTGAAGATTCCACTCTCCATCCGACGGCTGCAGCCATGCGGACGTAAGTGGGGGTGCCCGGCTTTCTTTGGTCGCGGCTTAGGGCTGCGGGTGTGGGGGCCGAAGTGACCGCTAGAGAAAAGCACGTGGAATCATCAACACCGTTGGCACCACTCCAAGAAATCTGCACGTGTGCGTAGTGTGGTTGATGCAAGCTTTCATTGGACAGATGGTGCAAAGGTCGAAACTCCCGGCAGAATGCCGGGGGAGAGGGCCCTCGAGTCCTACGGCTAGGGCTCGGATTGTGTCTAAGTCTAAGTTATGCGTTTGTTAAGCGATACAGATTCAGTGCTAGCATGTTCCCGTAGAGGAATGGAAGCACAAATTGAAGAACAAGTCCAGTGATGTCAAGTGTCTATCCCGTACAGACTAGAAAGAAGGACATGGTCAGACCTTCAAAACAGCGCATGACCGTTTATCTCATCAATCCTGCTTCGCTCCACCATTGTTGTACACCCCTACAATGAGAGGCACAAGTGCTTCCATGCGGTTCCTCAGTGCTGCTGCACAATGCAAGAATACATTGCCAGAGAGAGAAAGCCAGGGTTAACCACGTTTGACCAACATGGAAGCAAACAGTTGGATTTGATGTCAATCATGCCTCCCACGTTCGACCACAATTCTTCTTCATTCCAAACATGTCCGATCTACTCGTCACTTCTCTAGACCCTTGGCATCAGCGGTGATCCCATGGCCCACGACGCTTAGGTACTCGATTGCAGTGTGGTCCTACTTCCAGTTGATCGATTTCACGGACCGTTGGGTGGGTGTTTGATTGATTTTGATTGGGGGCATCATGGGGCATCAATTGCAGAATCCAAAGACATGATCAACCAGCGCAGTCAAGGGGCTCATGATTGAAAGGACCGTTACCTTCGTCACCGAAGAAAGGCCGGCGATCTTATGCATACCAGGCATCATTCAAATCATTTTGGAATATTGACGTATATTGACTATGTTCCTTGGCCTTGTTTTTGATCCTCCTCTATTTGGTCCGATCCATTGGCTACTCCTGCCTTTGCCGCCGTTTGCCGCTTGTAGGGACTGCTCGATTCTTGCCCAAAGACATGGATTCAGCGACTTCCAATCGCCTGGGACAACCCACCGCAGAAAGTCCACCCCAAAACGCATTTCACGGCGAATTGCACCAGCGACGACAAGTGCTGCCCCAGGACAAGAGCACAGTTTTCCGCTCTTGGCTTTTGAATGATGCAGGCCAGCTTTAGCTGCCGTGTAGGTGTCCCAATGGTGTAGGAGCCTTGCAGTTTAATTTGTTTTCACTGAGTGAGTTGGTTTATCATGTGAAAGTTGTTCTATATATATATATATAAGTGCACTTTCAATTTGAACGTTTGGGTTGGTGTTTAAGGATATACAGTGCCTGGTTATTGAGGAGGTCGTGTGACCATGTCGCGCATGTGTACGTTCACCAGCACAGGGGAGGCCTTGCTGTACTTCGACCATGTGCACCTGCAAGAAGTCCGTGGGGCACCCTGGATACTGGGTGGACGATGGTGGTACTGACTTGTGAGGACATACTTTGGGAGAAGCTCCCACCTGGCAACAGTGTATCAGAATCAAAGCTATTGTCTTATATTTGTTAGTTATTCTCTTTTGAAGTAGAGTAGAGGCCCACTGTTGGCCCACACCATCGATTGTTTCCGGGGATTTGCCACTATTTGCAATCATTGACCACTCAAACCAGCCAGATCTAGATTCTAGATCAATCTTCCAGTTTGATGGATCCTGTACCGCTCCAGATATGGGGTGCTGACACTCCTCCAGAACCAATCATTCGACTAGCCAGACAAGTTGGATTGGAACTATATAGGTGTTGGTGCCGAGGATGATGGAGATCGACCGTGCCTGAACCTTTTGCACAAAGCCGCAAAGCCGGTGCAACTGAGAGGAACAAACCCTGCAGTAGTTTGGCCACCGACAACATCCGACGACCATAATATCTTGTGGAGTTGAATGAATTGTATATTTGCAACAAAGCTGACATCACAATCCAAGAAGGGGGACGCAGGGCACTACAACATCAGTGAGTCCAACGTGGCAATGAAATGGTGTGGAAACATGATTGATTGAACGAGGAAAGAACCCAACTTATTATGTCAATATACATGTTGTCCAAAGACGAGGGATCCAGTTCAGATGACACGACCCAACAGAACCATGTCAGGGTCCTTTTCCCAAAACCGTCTCCAAAGAACCCCGTCCCGACTGGCCAATGGCGGCAGCCATGGGCAGAGGCGGAATTCAACCTCATCGCTCGGCAGAGGCTAATAACCCAAGGTACTGGAGCCGCTTCCTTTGTTGCCGCAGGGGCTGCGAGTTCATCCGGGTAACTCGAATGCCATTCGTCCAGACACTTCACCTACATGTGGTCCACGTGCTGGATTTCGCAGTAATGTGACTCATGTGATGTCATATGATACAAGGTTGAGAGTTTCGCGACAAAGCCAAGTGGTCCTTGGTCATGCGAATTGTTCAATCATTTGGTTGAGGAGTGTGGGAGCAGTTTCGTCCTTTTTGCTCCACCAGCACCAACGAGCCGATGTTCAGTATTGTTTGTTGCATGATTTAGTGATGGAGGTGACTCCACATTAAACCATGTTTTGAGATGTTTAGAGTCAAGAAGTAGAGCTTGGGGAAGCACAGACGTGTCACTGATGAATTGCACCTTTGACGAAGATGCGATTCTCTTAGCATGCAAAGTGTTTACCATCATGTAAACAGAATCGGCTGGTCGGACCAGCCTTTGATCGTCATCCTCAAGTGGCCGTTGATCAGGACTTTGATGAGGAAGACGAGGAAGACGAGATGGAAGTGGATTTGAGGCCCAAGCGTGGAAACATCGTTATTTCTGAGGAAGAGCTTCATGGCTGGCCTGCTCGTCGAATCGCAATTCGGTCATTCGGGCAGCTGGATGTAGATGTCGAGTATCAAAGTGCGTTCCATGAGAGTCCTGGAAGAAGTGCGAAAAGAGATGAAAAAAAGATCAGGTTCCCTCTAATATATAAGGCCGCCTTCTATTTGTTATCTCTATTTCATTCTCTTTTCACCTGTTTGCCAAACTTTGGAACTTCCACATGATACGAGCATCTGGACTGTTTGGGAAACCGCAGAGTCGTGGACCTGTTCACTGTGGGGGAGGGTGATGTAAAAACCAGACTCTCAAAGCTGTATACCTGGTATACCTCGTTTAGATATGCTTTGATGTGCCAAGTTGAAATCAATTGTTGGTGTTTGAATGTCTTTTGAAAACAACAGACATGAGAACGAGCGACTAGACTCTGTCCGGAAGATATTTCACCTTGACTTTCGCGGACACGTAAAGCGACATTTGAGACCACGCTTTCGCCCATCAAGAAAGCTGACTTTGTAATCATAAAGTCCCTTTGATTCCGGAGTATTGAGAGGTTTCTGCAGTCCTTCCGTCGTCTTCATTTTGCATTCGGAAGTCTGAGGACCGTCTGCCATTGTGCAAGTCACGGCAAGTCGGACATGGGATAGTTCAATGACAATGGAACAGACTATTCGATAACACGTCTTCAGTCCCTGACTTCACACTCGAGTTCGACGATGCACTTAGCATTGATTTCGTGCAGAGATTCACGATGCATCCTCAGCGTATCTATAATGCAGTCAACCGTAGTTAAGGAACTGGGGCTTCTAGGTATACAATTTGGGTCTTTGGAAGCACTGGATCCACTGTGTAGCTTAGGGATACAGATTCAAGTGCAGGTTCGAGGATTCTGTCGGGTTCAGTCAGTCCATTTCTCGAAAACCACAGCCTGTGTATTGAGTCCGAGTGGACGAGTTGATGCTCTTGGAATGCAAGGTTCGAAAGCCTCCAACGCTTCATTGCACAAATGATGCAGAAGACGCGACGCTCAGAGCTTCTGTATTTCCTCGCGGTGCCCAGCATTGCCACCATTGGCGGATTCTTCACAACGGCAGAGGATGGATTTCCCTTCATCTTCTACGCAATGTATTTGCCTTTGCTCGTGATCAGCAAGTCTTTGGAGGTCTTCTTGCTGAGAAGATGGCAGCAGGTTGATCTGACATCTGCTGAAATCCAAACACAACAGTGGGAGAGCATGGGCTTTGGACACCCCATTGCTTTGCTGTGTCTTGGCTATTGGAGACCGCAGGGGTGTTCTCCCCAGAAGGACTTGATGACTAAAGGATACGTACTAAAGGCATCCACAGATTAACATCAGTTAACATCCCTTAGGGGCTCAAGACCAACAACATTTTTGTGCACACCCTACAAAAGAGATTCACGTGTCAGATGACACTTCATTGAGTGGTTCATTTCATCTTCCTTCGCTGTCGCAACCCGTGCGCAGGATCTGTGGCTCATTGGAGCACGCGGATTTGTTCTTGGATGTCGTTTTCATAGCGACCAGTGCCAGCTGTGGTTATGCCGCCCGAACAGATTGCTTAGCTTTGGCGTCCCCAAGCATTTCCCATGAAACGTCCCGACTGGCAGAGACTGGTGAATTCTTGGTGTAGAGATAAGGGATGATCAAAGGAAATTGAAGCACACGTCGTCGCTTCTTCCTGAAAGTTGATTTTCAAGCTATAGTCATACTATAACTGAAGTTCGGGTAGTTTGATGAACGTTTGGAATGTCTTTGATGCTGTTATTTGCCGCTTGCCTCTTGTTCCCGAGAATGTCCAACAAGTACTTAGCCAAAATGTTTGCTCGGGATAGTATATAGTCGGGAAAGTGGAAAGCTTCACATTTTGCCTTCAAGACATGCAAGGATGAAGCACTTTGTTGGGTCTAAACATGTTCATGCCACAGCAATCCACAGCACATCTTTACTGGTGCGTCCCTACCTCCAGCAATATCATTGCAAGCACTTGGCACAACTGAGGGCTTACATCAGCGCTGGATGTCAACGTGTGCGTGCAAATTAGATTAGTATTAGTATGTGGTGCGTATGCGCATTCAATCTCATCTCTTACACCAATGCACTCTTGATTACCTGTAAAGCATCGTGCATGGGATACCTTCCTAAACTCACTTTCATCAGCCCTTCCAATATTACATTATAAATGCTCTGAGCACAATATTCAGCAGAATATATGCAGGTACATGTCAGTATGTAACGTTTATCGTGCGCAATTACTCCACTCCAAACTGTGCAAGTAACCGGACTCAAAGCTCATGCCCTGATGATGGAACTCACAGACATTTGCACTTGTTATATAACACATATCAACCATGTTGCTGGCAGCCTGGCAACTAGTAGGCACCTTTTGGAAGATATCTACACACACACCAGAGGCATCAAGAGTTTTTCTAGACCTTTGCACACCGGCTATACCATAGGGATTGTAATTTCTGTGGTGTTGTTCTTGTTGTTCTTATCCTTCTCGTTGTGGTCGTGGTCGTTGTCGCCGTCATCGTCGTTGTTGTGCGCGCAATGCACACGCCAAGAACACCATCGTTGAAGCAAAGCGTGGGATCTTTTTGAACCTCCGCAAGCCAAAAATAACGGTATGTATTTACAAGATGTTGTTTTCCACTAGGAGCTCAAAAACACTGCAAATGTTGTTGGACGTCAGTAAGTCAGTAAGCCAAAAATTACGGCATTTATGAGGTTGTTTGGCAGCAGGAGCCAAAAACTAGCTGAGGCAGTAAAAGGAACTCAAAGAGTGGTCTTTGGGTTGACCTTTTTTCACTAGGTAGCAGATCCTTGGTAAACCGATCAGGGGTAACAAACCATAAGGCTTGGCTTAGGCATGGAAGCGAGTGATCATTTTACAGTGTGGGGGTGATAGATCTTTTGTGCTCTGAGTTTATTGAGTCTAAGTGTTGTTGAGAGTGTCCTTGTGATACGATCCACTGAGATTCATCATCCTGTTTTTGGGCCTGTCGCTCTTGCTGGCCTTCCAATACATGTTCTCGGACAGCCCAGTCGAGTCTGGCCGACTTGGCAGAACCAAAGGCAGAGAGACAGCAGGAACCAAGTCACGAAAGAACAAGGGGGTCTAAGGTGTCTTAGCCGACGAGCTTCAATTTTGGAGACCAAAGATAGCCTGTTTGTGCTCATCTGATTTCACCAGAAACTCATTCTTTCTTCGCACCATGTCAGTGCCTCGCGCCCCAACTTTGTGCATGGTGGGGCTTTGTGGCGCACAGATGAAGAAAGAGCCACAATGGTCGCGGTGGTGTGGAAAGTGGCTTTGCTACTGTGTTGCTGGCCAAGTCATCATGCACATTCAGCCTTTCAAGATCTTCACCGAGTTCTTCCGTTTGTGTGCACTAAGCATCAAGGCCCTTTCCTGCCAGTCAGGCTTCCGAAGCAGTCACCCTTGAAGGGCGCCGCCGACAAAGTCATCACGTGGAAGTTTAGCCCCCGTGCACGCAACGTCCAAAATATATCCACTGAAATGCGTTGGGCTATTTCCTTTTCACTTTTTCATTGCAGCTCCACGCAACAATTTCTTAGAGCTTGGCTA